TACGACATACGACATACGAGTACAACTACGAGTATTATTATTGAGAGCAACTACTTATTATCACTACATACGACATACGAGTACATACGACATACGACATACGAGTATTTATTATTCAGAGCAACTAACCATTATCACTACAACATGGTCTTCAATTAAGGAAGTAACAGTGYTTACATCGAGGGAAAGTAGAAAGTGATGGTAATAACCTAGGACATTTCTCTACTAGCTTCGAGGAAGTGAATACCATTAGTGACTTCCCACTCGTTTTAGTTCTCTACCAAAATTTCTCAAGGTGATGTGTCACGTACGCAGTAACCAGTACTATACCGGCGGCTAAACCAATCAGTTAAAACATCCTACTACACTGAAGTCAGCGAGGATGTGATGTTATTTGCATAATAGCGGGCAATAAAACTGTTAAATAACACGATAATTGGGGGGTCTTCTTTACTGTACGGTGGAAAATGTAATGGTAAAAACGTAAGAACTGAATAACTGCGCGAGTAAGAACCATAAATGAGAAGTGAAAACATCTAAGAAACCAGGCAAGAGGAAATTAGAATAAACYCTATCACCAACTTGTTGCAAACAAGCCGAACTGGTAAGCCATAATGAAWACACCTGAGGACGCTATTCAAGCAAATGGTAATATTATGTGGAAGTTAATGAATAATACCCCGTGATGAATGCTGGCACTGCAAACACACTGCCAACAGACTGCAACTGTTCAGTAACTAAGTCGAAGTAATTYGTAAAGATGAAGTCTGTAGCCCAGTTGGAGGAGAAATCTCAAAAGGTAAAAATGTTGTAGTGATAGAAACCGACTAACAGCAGAGAKATATAGTTTGCATTGTTCTATGTGGCTAAACCTGTCAAATYATACACCTATTTCGAAAAACGTTGTCGAATGGATATCTGATTTCAGAAATCCGAAACCGATTAGAATTGTGGGGGACTGAGTGTTTTCTCGTTAAAAATTGAATATACACTTACCCAGATAGTTTKCCAGCGCAGGTCATCGTTCAAAGTTGATATATCAAGATATTAACTATTGGCGAACTACTTATTAAAACCACAAAACAATTTACAGCTTACAACCCACAATTCCTTTCGGTCTCAGATTTCAGATCTCCGACCGACGTTTTTTGAAAAAGGTGTATGTAGAAAAACATCAAGATGTCAACGTAATCTAAGAACTACAAACAGTACTACACAACAGTACTTTATCAAGGTCTTTCTTCATTAGAGTTGCAATACTAAGCCGTGAGCATGACCTAATTGGTTGGCCTACGCTCTTTCATTCATCATGTAGAAGTACTACCGGAGATCGTTCTGTTCTAGTCCTACTTTTCACGACCTAAGTTGAATTACGGAAGAATAAGTCACCAAAATCAATTTATAAATATGACTTAGTAATATAGTTTTATATACACCTACTTGCAAGAACGTTGACATACAAGAATAGAACATTAGTAATTTAGTGAGAAAGGAATACATTAAAAGACAAAAGAAAAAGTTCAGCTTCAGTGATCTTCTTTTGTTTTTTAATATAATTCCTATCCCACTAAATCACTAATGTTCTATTTTCGTATGACAACGTTCTTGCAAGTAGGTGTATTTTATTATATTATACATTATATTTATTTATATTTGTAACATTAGATATGTCTTTTTTTATCTTTTGAATTCAGTATTAAATACTGTACTATTATATTATTAGACTATTAATTATTGCCTATTATCTATTCCTACAAAGTAGGACCTTGTGGAAATACGTAAAGGAAAGTGAACTACCGCAGACCGAGAAATCGCAGGCTCGTAAATAAGGCTCGCTAGACATGCCCGAGAACGATATTGACATTCTGATTTCAACGGTCACCTTATTATCATTGTTATCAAGCGCTCATTAGCAATGCTATTTTTTCCATTTTGTGACCTGGAAATCCATAATTTCAGGAGGAAAAGTGACAACCCAGTTTTGCAAATTTACTCGATTCTGATTGGCTAACATTTCTTCTCAAAACAGCTGGTTGGAATTAACACAGCCCCAAAATGCATTGATATGTCAACTCGACCTAGTCTTAATCTCAACCTCGGAAAGGTTAATTGGTCTGTCCCAGTCGGTCTGTTAGTCTGTTGGTCTATAAGACTATAAACTTTTGGRGCCGAGTAGGACGCGTGCTGCATCATGGGACTGTCTTAGGGACTACGTTTGTCTTTTTCGTTTTTCAATCCAGTCACATTTTTGTTGCTTCGCGTATCAACGAGTTCAAAATGGCGTCCCCTAAACAGCCCTATCATTCAACCCGTCCTAATCGTTACCAATTTTTCGCGCAACTACTTCGCAACCGCGGCCATGTTGGTGCCATTTAACAAAAGATTTCTCATTAGCATCCACTGTTAACGGCACCACAATGGCCGCCATGTCTTTGTCTTTTGACTCTCTTGAGAATGCTTGCAACCAACCAATGATATAGTATAAAACTATAACGTGGAAAAAAATTACTAAATAAATTACCAACTATGACTAACGCGGAAAATAACTTAATTCCGCCAAATGATAAAACGAGGTGGTATAAGAAAGTCGGAAAGTCAGTTAGTACGAGTAACTATTGTGGAATAGCATTAAAAACATACTGTGATTTTCGGCTTGACACTAATATTATGGATAAAAGACTGTTTTACCTTTCTTGGTGTCTTTCTTGTTCGCCGGTTTATGAATGAATGAAAGGTCAAAGGTGTCACCTGGTGTTATTTAGACATGGTAAAGCCTACGTGATTGATTCAAGTATTCACTGCTAATAATCTTTACATTTGTGCAGCCTTGCACGGTTAATAATGGGAATTTAATAATTTGCAGGTACTGACCAATAGGGACGTGGGCTCTGGGTACGAGATTGAAAATAAACTACTTGGAAGTTGACGTAACACCACTAAATGTATTTTGTCACGATTTAGTCACATACATGTATTAGGCCACGCTTCAGTCACGGGTTCCCGGTTGCCTTTCGATATGTTATGATTGCTTTCAGCGAGGGAAAATTTCATCAGTTCTAGAAGGATCTAGAAACAGCCCCAACGGTGGGGTGAAAATCCCCGCTTCTTTTCTCTACGCCGGAATCTTAAAAAGCCGAAAAAGGAAAACAAAACGCTTAGGATCTTTTAAATCTGTTGTATTTTCTTAAGCTGCTTGCAGTTCTATGCCTAATCAATTATCTATGTCTCTCTCTTCGTTATTTTTACATAGAACTAGTAGTTTCTACTAAGAGTTTTTCGACAACTAGAGTTATGGTAATTAAAAGTTGCTGTTCTAAACCTGTTTTTGTTTTGCAACACCTGGTGTTCAACTAGCACTGAATGAGTGGTTATTTAATATGATTCTGACTAATATTAGAGTGCATCCAATGAAAAGTGTCACTCTTGAGGAGTTCATAGATAGGGCGGATCCTCCGTATCGGATTTGATCATTTGAAACAAGTAAATACTACAACGCTTCCGATACTAATTATCAGATTATCATCTACGTAACATTGAATTATACTCAACTGAAGTTAAATATGTTTATTACCCAGTAGTGGGGATTTTACGGCAGAAAACAAGCACGCACTTAGTAAAAGAACGAAACAAACAAATACGTGCAAAAAAACACTCCGTCGTCAGTTAAATATGAATGCTTGGGAAAACACTCCGTCGTCAGTTACAAATACTAATGCGTGGGAAAACATTCTTTGTCATCGGTTAAGCAGCCACGTGACTTGACCTAGAATGTTATATATGTCGCAAAAGAGAAAGTTACTTGATGGCAGTAAAACGAGGCATTTAAGGAGAGATTTCCTGGCAAGGCTTGTAAAGCAAGGTATTAGCTTGTTATTCTAGCGAAATCTATCGCGWCACCAACTGCCGAGCAATAGTAAGTGTTTTTTGTATACGCATAATAGAAAGTTATAAGCGACCATATCGAAGCTTACGGCAATAAGTGGCCACAGTAGGGGAGTCTGACATTCAATCACCTCACTAGGCTAAAATGGAATGTAGAGTACATACCTCTGTGAACGCACCGCCTGCTGTTAACAGCTCGAGTTTCACTCTGAGAGAGAGAGAGAGAGAGAGAAAGAGAAAGAAAGAGAAAGTATAAGTCGTGTGCTCCGTTGCATACAGCAATGCAATCAGCAATGTCAGAGTGTTGCTTTCCATTTGAAATGGTAACAAAAGATTGCATACGAGTGGAAAGTCCCCGCACTTTGACCGCGGATGCCCTACTCGAAAGCCAAGCTGTTAGCGTCTCTTCCTTAACAACAATAAACATGCTGATGTTTTCATGTTCTTCTTAACGGGAAGGCTGGGTTTTTTTACGCGTCATGCTGGTTGTTAAACGTCTTTCTCGCCAAACTGTCTGTGCTAATAAAAACAGTGATGAGGTTCGGAGAGGTAAACTGGTCTCTTAAGTTTGCTATTCAATATTGCGCACGTTTCGTGTATGGAAAAGRGCAGTTGTTGTTTTAGGCTTCAGTTAGTATACGTGAATGGATACACAGACAGGAAAGGGAAGGAAGGAGACGGAGGAAAGGGGAGGGAAGAGAAAGAGACTTATCGAAGTGGAATACCATCACAACTTTTCCCGAGTGTTCTGTGTGCACACTTTATATCAGTGAGTAAACAGAGACAGGCAGAGACGGGTACTGATAGCGTGATAGAATAGGTCGTATAATATTCRCGGAAAATAGCAGATTAATTCGTGTAAGTGGGAATGTACCGTTGTTTTTCATCGTACATTTTTAGTGCTAGCGGAAATCATTTGAGACTTGCATTATATGTATCACATTCCCGGCCCACTCGGWATATTCAAATCTTCTTTACAGGATGCGAAACCCTTTACTGTAATAAACATGCATGAAAGTAACTGCGTTTGTGCCAACATCAAAAAGAGCAGTATCACATTGAGCACATTCTTTGTGGATCACGTGACATACTGTAACCACGTGACATATCATAAACTTTGGTACGTGCCATAACTGACATCTTGTTCATACGCCATGCAAAAACGATGCCACTTCGTATTTGAAACTATAGGTTTTCTTGTTTGAAGTGCAGAAAAGGCTAAACAGTATAGGATTCTACGTTAGATATTCAGCGACTAAACTAATTATGAACAAAAAGATGAAAAAACTAGATTATTTGATGTCATATAGCCATGGATATTTAGAAAAAATAAGTCTGAGATTGTGGCTGTAAATTTACAAAATGGTAACTTGGTGTTCGAACATTGACGGTGTTGTTAGGGCGCACAATAGTTCAGAGGAAGCTAACGAGACGCCGATGGCCCTTTAACAAGTCTTTATTAAAATGCGTTTGCGAAACAGTTATGAGGACTTTCGTTTTGAAAAGACCAACAAGCTAGAATTCTAAGAAAACACTAGTTATTAAGGACAGGTTTATTTGAAGTACTAATTGGAAAGACGTTGAGTAAAATAGCTGACAAGACGTGGAGAATATATTGACGAAATGCTGGATGTAAAAATCCCGCCAAAAACACGCATGCAGCRGCCGTCGGACGAGTGTTCTTTAAAATGCATGTACTAACCAGCACACAAAAAATGTTATCAAATTACCAAATAAATGAATTTTTGGAAATCTTGCTTATTTATTTTCTATAGAGCTCATGAACGAACGAAAAAATGTTTTAACATTGGAGAATCGATAGAAATGTAGCTGGGTGATGCGTTAGAATGACGAAGAAGAGAAATCGAGTTGAGSCAGGTAAAGTGGACTGATGACTGAGGCTAAGGCACAACCTAGAAAGCGTTCGCTACTTCTAATTATTCACTCCATGTACTTATATATAGATAAACAAGCTTGGATATTCTATTGACGAAGAAAAATGATATGAAAATTGATGYAAATGATGAAAGCAAGAGTGACTTTTCTCGATGTTGAGAGGATAACGTCTCTTGATCTAAGCAAACCAGTCATTTCTACTKCTTGTTCTATGTCCTTGGGAAGGACTGACCTTCAAATATGTTTCGATAATAAATGATACACTTTTGACACGGCATTTACATCGGGGRAAAAACTGTACACTGTTACTTGTTGTCCACTGAAATCCTGGTTTGTGACTTGAACGATTTTCACTGAGAACACTGACAAGGATAATGGCGCCTTGGTATATCTCGGYGCAGATTTAAAGCAATGTAACATTTATTACTTATTTCTTCAGTGGTTACTGGATCATACATAGAATACATTGATCTATATAAAAGATATTCCAGCCAAGTGATTGTAAAAATAAACAATAAATGAGTAAAAACACTTACCTTATTATCTTGGCGAAGACTGATGTGCTGAGCTTTTGCTAAAAGACTCAATGACGACTGAAGAAATAGACTTTCGATTTCCACCCTATTTATCATATTTGTAGTCTGACTATCACGCCCTCACTTCACTGGTCAGGCATTATCACGTGACAGAATCGCGGCCTGAAAAGGTAAAAAGAGCAGCCCGGCTCAGTTGAGGTACGGACAGTGAGTCAGTATGTCTATGAACATGCTGCTAGCATTAAGCAATGAACCGTTTTACACTATAGARCTAGCAGCATGCATCATAACCTGTTTATCAACTGATTGATCAGGAACAAACCAAACTAAAACACAGCCCTCTATCGATAAAACAACTGATTCTAATATTACCTAGCTGAGAACATATAAAGTATAGTCAACTGCAAACATGGTCATGCAGTAACAAACGAATCGATGCACCAGATTGATCAGGCGTAAACCAAGCCCTAAGACACTTTCCTCRATAAAACAACTGATTCTTATACTGAGAACATTTGAAGYATTTAAACAGCAAACATGCTCAGTAACAAACGAATCGATGCACTAGATTGATCAGGCATAAACCAAGCCCTAAGACACTGTCCTCGATAAAGCAACTGATTCTTATACTGAGAACATTTGAAGTATGTGAACAGCAAACATGCTCAGTAACAAACGAATCGATGCACCAGATTGATCAGGCATAAAACAAGCCCTAAGAYACTGTCCTCGATAAAACAACTGATTCTTATACTAAGAACATTTGAAGTRTGTGAACATACTCAGTAACGAGCGCGGCATCGATGCACCAGATTAATGAGTCATAAACCAAGCTAAAACGCAATACCAATAACATGACTGTGAACTGTTAAAGCATGTCTCAAGCTCAGTGAGTAAGTGAATTGCAACGGCAATATAGAAAACCCCAAGAAACACTAGTATCTCGCACACATAATTATGCTCATTTGATCCTGTCGAACATGACACTGTCCTCCCTTCATGATCTATAACTATGTATTTGAATATGTAATAACTACAACACCGATAGCATGTTACACACTAGCCAGTAAGCCATGACTTGTTCGATTCTAAACTTGCCAGAATTGTCCTCCTAATATCTACTATCTGTGCAGTGACCACTGAACATCAATAACCTGTTATTAGATTAAGACTATAACTGCAGTTTACGATACTAGTTTTCTAAGAGGAAAAAGCTGAACCTTAAACGAAGGCAGATTATAAAATAACCGAGTTCTAACACGCGCTCTGATTGGTCAAAACACCGGCATTTTAGAGTACCTAAAATCCCGAAAAATATTAACCAAAGATTGAACATCTAGGCAGTCGATATGATAAAAACTGATTAAGCCCTTATTTTGGAATAAAATGCTCGCGTTAATTCTTTTCTCGCGCGCTCTGAATTTGCGCTTAGTATAGTTTGCCGGCACGAAAAAGTATCGTTAATTTGTGGCCGTGCTCGCTATCTTAATATCAAAGTATAAAACAGTTTTTGGTTTTAGATACTCTGATCACTAAACRCTTGGGATGCTAAGAGAATACTTAAGAAGCTTCTTCATTTTCTTTAGCTTTAGTTTTCTCCGCTTCTCTCATGTTCCCTCAGCATCCGGCGTGTTTAGGCCAGAGTATCGAAAACAGAAAACTGTCTTACATTTCTATTCCTAAATCACAAATTGCCGAATAACTTTCCTGATACAAAGGCAGGAATAGTGAGGTAAATGTTACGACAAAATCCTGCACTTTTTTCAGCTCMATCAAACATTTATTCGACATATTTGATTCTTCACTCTTCTAAAAGTAGAAAATCGTTTTCACTTGTACTGAAAAATAGTTTGTGTGAAGTTTTATCCAGGTCAAGTTAAGTTAAGAAGTTAATTCTACGGCCATCGATTCTTTCCTGTTTTTACCTCAGAACTTTGCAACTCTCTTCCCTCATCAATTATAGAACTCTTCAGTGCGATACTGTCCCCTTTTAAATCAAATCTTAAAACCTTCCCGTTTAAATCTGCTTTTTCTTGTCAATTAGAAAGTAGCTTCAATATTCTACTTTTATCGTTTACTTTTCACATCGCCTAGAGCAGATCTGCATGGATGGGCGCTTAATAAATCCATTTATTTAGAGAGTTTTAGATTTACGTTCAMGGCAAACGTGAAACGTCAGTTGAMCAGTAAAAAATTATTTTAAATTACTGAAAAAGAATCGCAAAAAAGTCCAAGTAGTAGAAAAACAAAAGAGTATTTGCGCTTGGTGAGAAGGTTTGTAAAAGGTAAAGTAAAATACAGGAAAACGATGAAAACGTGGTCACGTTTGCCGTTTGCGGGGAGGAAACAAAGTCAATCTAAAACTCTCTATTATTATAGTTCTTGAGGTTGTCTTTATCCAGAAATCTTCCTTGTCTTACAAGGGTATCARTTATAGCAGCCAGTGGCTAACAAACCTGAGGCCCTTGTTCCATGATCGAATTGGAATTTAGCAGTTGATTTTTACGGAGGGAAGAAAACCGGAGAACCCGGAAAAAACCCTCGAAGCACAGGCTTCGCAGCTAAAAAACGAATATTCACAGTTCCGACGACGCGTACGAGAACGAGAACGAGTTTTTAACTTTTAAAGATTGGCACCTTCATTTCGTAGTCGTGATCGTGTACGTAGATTTTTTTTTCGAACTTTTTTTAATTTTTMATTTCACAATTTTATAACATACAAATGACTGTACAATAATAATAATCTAAAGCTAAACAAATAAATAAATAAWAATCAAACTAAATAGGTGTAATTAACGAAATCGTAACTATCGTGTACGTACATTGAAACTTTAGATAGTTGCAACAAATTTGAAATCCTCTACGATTCAGTGTTAACCACGCGCTCAGAACCAATTTWAAAACTCGTACTCATTCTCTTACTCGAAGTCGGGTCTGAAGGTCTCTAACGTACACGTCACTGCGCGCGGTGACTTATCCACCAATATAGACTTATAATACCTCGGTCACAGAAGTCTTTGAAGGATAACTAAAAGTCAGTTAAAAACATCTGCGCATTAAATTCAAGTTTATCAAAATTATTTATTTCAAAATGASCATGTCGAGTAGAGTCCCTGCGGTCCCTGTGGTGAGATGGAGTATCTTTCGCATCAACCGCTAGATCATGAAACATTTTGAACCCTAACCCTAAGGACAAGTCAAAGAATTGATCGGGCTTAACATCTACTCGTACATACATACATACACTTTATTGTATCTCCCAAAATGGGCTTTTCACCTACAACATGCTAAATATAAATACTAAATAAATATATATTAATAGATAATATAATCGTATAAATACTAAAAATATTAATAAATATMAATATCAAATGTAATCCTAAAAATTAGAAACAAATATAAAATATTGTAATCCAATTTAAAATATAATGATGATGGCTGATTTGAKCATAACGTTTATATAATCTTCTTAAAATTCCTTACGTTATCTATGGTAATGATAAAAAGGTAAGTTATACACCGTGAAAAGATGAAAAAACTTACTGACGTTTCGGACGCTAGTCCTTCGTCGGAGTAAAACTTCAGTAAGTTTTTTCATCTTTTCACGGTGTATTATTTACCTTTTTATCATTATTGTTTCATTAGAAACACCGACGCAGCTCGCACTAGTTTTTAGCTAGTTATATCTTCTTGTTATCTATGGTACTTGTTTCAAAACTTAGTTCGTTCGGAAGCTTGCATCCGCGATACGCAAAACATCTCTGACCTGTCGCCAGACGACATTGAGGAATTTGTAAAAAAATTATTGGAAGCATTCCTAGTATTTCTACTATATTTTTAATACTCGTAAAGATACTCTATTAAAATCGAATAGGATCACTGTCAAGAGAATATATTATAAAGATAATGCCTAGACCTTTGCGACTTTGATCCTGGTCAACAGACTAATTTCCCTAAGTGTTGCACTTCTTCGCGCAACATGTCCTCGAGTACCTGGCGGTAGAGATCCGCTATTAACCTGATGCATTCAAGCTTAACACAGTTAAGGCTAAAKTGAAAAATATTCAATAAATCTAGAAACACTTTAACACAAGCTGACCAAAGAGGAGAAAATACCAAGCAAGCAGATTTCCTTTCTCCGCTTTTGACTAATTGTGAACTAATTATCTAATCTATAGCGACATTCAGTGACATTCATTCCTTGACGTKAATCTTCATTGCCACTTGTAACATATATTACTCTGTTTGAGATTACCCGATTTTCGTCTCCGACAGAATCGTATTCGGAGTAGGAAGCAGCTTATGAAGAAGTGAAAACCAGAAAACGCAGTCGAAATAGGAGTGGAGAGCGTGTCACAAGCAGAATATGGACGATCGGAAGATTTTTTAAACTTTTTTTTTTAAACCCATTACTTGAAGCCATAAGCATTACGTACCTTTGTGTAAAATCATCATAAAAATTGTTCACTTTTAGAGCAGACGACGGGTTTTCATGTATCCACTGTCTTATTTTGGTAGGGTGGGAGAGGTCTATCTCAAGCCATATCGATCTGTAGAACAAAGAAAAACATCAATTTGAAATTGTAAAATCTACCCTAGATATATAGCACTATCCTATAGTCTTCTCCACTGTTGGTAACCCAATGCCATGGTCCTACCACTYCCTCCTATTATGGAACCCCTATGGTATGGTCTCCCTCTTCCCCCTGATGGTACCCAAATGCAATGGTTCTTCCACTCCCTCCTGTTATGGAACCCCTATGGTATGGTCCCTCTTCTCTCCTGATGGTACCCCAATGCTATGGTYCTATCACTCTCTCCTGTTTTGAACCCCTATGGTATGGTCCCCCTCTTCTCCCCTGATGGTACCACAATGCCATGGTCCTATCACTCTCTCCTGTTATGGAACCCCTATGGTATGGTCCCCCTCTTCTCCTTTGATGGTACCCCAATGCCATGGTCCTATCACTCTCTCTTG